ATTGTTTCTCCTTAAATTCTCTTTTAATTGTTTTTATGACCTCTGCTTCATTAGCTAGTTGTGGTAAAATATGTTCTAATAAACCTTTGTGTGAAAATGTTTGGAAAAATATTTAAGAAAGTACAGAATAGTTGATCTTGGTCACATACAGTAAGGTAATATCTCCCTTAACATTTATCCTTCTCTGCTGTGATTTGATCTGAAAATCTGAATCACCACTTCTATTTATGGTACCATCAGCTATTAGTGTCCATCTTACAACTGTACTGCACATGTATTCACAAACGATTTGAAAATGTAACCTGTACTTTTGATCAGCAGTCGGTTCAGAGAATTTGATCTGTTTGGAAGACTGTCATGAAAGAGTCCTGTCCAATATTATTGGTATAATATCCTGTGCAACAAAAAGTGGCTGTGTGAACCTCAAATTAATATCAACAACAACAAAAAATTGCATTTATATAACACCTTTCATGTTAGGAGAACATCCCAAAGTCCTGGACAGTCGAGGGTTTGCACCAAAGTTGGGAATTGGATTTCAGTGTCGAGGATCCTTATATTTGTTTCCCAAGTGAGAGTGGGAAGGGCTTTGGGAGTGGGTAGATGACTGAAGACACGGTCAAAAAAGGACTTGAGACAGACGTTGAAGGAGGCAAGGGGTGACACAAAGGGACTCTGAAATTCCAGAGCATGGGGACAGAAAGGCTGAAGGCCTGATTGCTGATGGTGGGGTGGGCAATGTGGGGCCATGAAGCAGGCCAGTGTCTGCTGAGCGGAGGGAAAAGGGCGGGTTGGTTGGTACATTTTTAGCTGCCGTATCCATCCCATATGGCAGCAGACTTTGATGACTTTAAATATAAGTAGCTGATAGAATTATCGGCTGCTTCAAAAACAGTTATTACATGTCCATTTTGCCACTCAACATTACACAATTCAGATTATTGTGGGAAGTGAAACATTTTCTATATTCCACTCTGAGGTGTGAGTTACTTGCTGTATACTATTAAATTTTGTTAATTTGAGTAGGAAATGTTTACTTGGTAATACAAACTATTGCTGGTGCAGCACACAGGTCCCAAGTAGATTTTCCGATTTCTACTGAGCTTGTCCTAAATACTCCACTGCCTAATGGGCATCTCATTTACTATCCTCCTTAATTGTGCTTAGGTGGAAGCATATTCCTGAGATACACGGAGCCAACCAAGCATGCTCAGTTAATTAATGAGATTGGTCTGAATCCAGTATTGGATCCATATATTTGTTTCCCAAGTGAGAGTAGCAGGAAGAGAGCTTGTTTTTTCTTTTTCTTCACTGGATAACTAAAATAGCCTTAATTTAACACTAACAATGAAAGAGAAATGTTGATAGGATCTTGATGCTTGATAAATGCCACAATAAGTGACAAACCTGATCTCTGGACAATTTCACCATGATTGTGGCTGGCTTTTTAGATTTGCTTAGCTGAAACTGAATGCATGCAATTGTTTCTTTATTTGTAAGCAAGTGTAATAATAGATTTTGCACACTGCACTGCTATTAGTGAAAATAGCAAATAAGAATATGTGTTGAATGAATTCAGAATTGATCAGCCAACCTATATACATTACTTCCATAACAGATTTACAAAAAAAAGCTTTGTGAGCTAAAATAGCTTTTAGCCACATATAGCAGTAGAACCATCTATATGCAGGAACCTGCATTTATATTTCCCACTTCAAATTCCTCTTGCTGGGTGCTAGGAGAGATGTGCACCTATACGTAATCTTGTGTTTAGAACTCCCATTAAACAGTATTAGCAATATAAATGCAATTTATTTTCTTGTTGTTTGCCTTTAATGTTGCTAACAGTATTTTTCTGTAATTTGATTGAAAATAGTTCCTTGAAAGTTCTTTGATTGTTATTGGGCTTGTATTGGGTTAATTTTGAATGGAATCCCACAAAACGCAACTTGCATTTATATAGCACCTTTCACGTGGAGTAGCATCTCCAAGCATTGTACAATAGTTTGTATGAATGTAGTTTGACACTGAGGTAAGGAGAAATAGGAGGTGACTATACAACAACCACACAACAACCACCGAGGAATGCACAGAAGTCCTTAGCCAGCTGAGCAAAAAGGGTCAGTAAAGGAGTGGATTACGAGGAGGTTGGAGAGGTAGGGAGATGCCTGTTATGATGTGATTTGTAGGTGAGTGTGAGGATCTCAAAATCGATCACTGTCACCCCACTAATACAATACATCCTGTGAAGTGCTGTGAGATGTCCTCCTGATGTGAATAGCATTATAATAATAATAATAATAATAATCCTTGCATTTGATATAGCGCTTTTCACGTCGGGAGGACGTCCCAAAGCGCTTCACAGAACATACTGTAAAGTGAATTGACTATATTTGTGGGCAAACGCGGCAGCCAATTGCGCACAGCAGTGTTCCACAAACAGTCGTAGATTGAAAATGACCAATTTAATATTGTTTTTGGTTCTGGAGGGATTATTATTAGGCTCTGTGTGGAGTAAGGAAACTTGCCCAAGGTTTCGCCCTCTGCCTGGAATTGAACTCAGGTCTCTCGCTTGCAAAGCGAGTGCTCTAACCACTGAGCTACAGGACTCCATAGTTGATAGATATGTTTTGTGGCACTGATCTAATGTTGGGCAACCATTGTGTCGTGCCATTGAGTGGTGAATGAAACTTCATAAAACTGTACTATTCTTTACCTTAGATGAAACAACTTATGAAAAAAATGGTGTCAAATGTAAGAGTTATTTTAAGAAGCATCCCTTCGCTCCACCTGAATTTACATTGCAAATTAATTTCCTGTTAAAATCAGCTCCACAAGGTGGACTTAAGGGTGTGCTACTTAAACCTGATGTTTGCAAATTATGTGAAAAGCATCCATTAGTTTTACATTTACATGTAAATTACATAATATTTGGGGTTTAAAATAATGTACAATGTTATTATATGCAAAGTATTACCAATGAGGTATTTACGCAGGATTACATTAGTGACCAGGACATCAGCTGGCACCCTTTTATACCCTTGAGCTTTCTGAAATGACGTCAAATCCCAATTATAATATCCTAAATACAGCCCTGGTTGGGCTTAACTGATTCAGTACATCCCAGTATTCAAACCAAATCAGCATTATCTGGTCTGTATGGCATAGTGCTTTAATTTGTTGACATATTTACCCATAAAAAATGACTTTCTATTAGTTTAATGAGATTTCTAACACTTGTACCTTAATGATCACTTTTACTCTAGCCAGCCTAAGTTTTTTTCTGATGCTTCTCTATCACTGGATGAAGTTTCTCAGTTTTTCACAGTTTGAAAAATAGAATCATAGACAGCCAAATAATACTTTGTGTTGCGTGGCAATGCAGAACACATTTGGAGAGTTGGCTTTTGGAGCAGTTTATCACAGATTTGTTAGTTACCACTGTATTTTGCGCAATTCTCTGATGGATTTTTAAAAAAAAATCCTCTAGACGTTTGAGCTGGATTGCAGCAATTTGTAGGTAATTTTCATGCAAGTCTAGAAGAATAAGAGACCGAATACGGTAGAACCTTTAAAGGTACAGATTAGATAGCCAGTGATTAAACTATTAAACTCTTCTAACAACGTAATGAATGTACTGAGAAGTTATTGAGCCTGTATATTGGGATTTGGAAGAAGACAGAGAGAAAATGTTGAAATTTAGCATTTAATAATTCTTCTAATTGATGAGAAAAGGAAATCTGCGGAACCAACTTTGTCAAGTAGGATTAATTGAACATCTTAGAAAGAAGTAGAATTCGTATTAAGTGTTCCAAGACTAAACTGAAACAAAATTGCTTCAGCTAACGATAAACCACAATTTCTGCGCCTTGTGTTTTGCACCAAGAAATCCCATTTCCATACCACCTTTTTGTACAAAGACATCATGTAATGTAGATTTTGCTTTTGGAATGTTGGAAAGTTGACACCAAATTATTATTATTATAATTCAATTCTAGTTTTACACCTTTATTGAATTTGTCAAGTAGTTAAGGACATGCAGTGTACTTTGACAGTAAAATCAGATCACTCATTTTTAATTAAAAACTTCCTTCCCAAATCAAATTGGCCATTGTTGCAGGGTTAGTATCTATTGTCAAAGACATTTTGACTGTCTTTCATGACAAAGATTTATCTCGCCATTCAACTTAGTTTTCATAACTTAGTCTCCTCCCTCTCTCTCTTTTCTCCTCATCTCGTGGAGTCCTGTAGCTCAGTGGCTGGAGCACTCATCTCACAAGTGATAGACCTAGGTTCGATTCCCAGGCAGGGTGAAATGTTGGGCAAGTTTCCTTTCTCCACACACCTCTGTTTACCTAGCAGTAAGTAGGAACCTGGCTGTTAGTCTATTGGCGGGTCGCTTTTCTGGGGGTAATAATTCCTTCAAAACAATAATAATAATAATTTGATCACTCAATCCATGACGGTTTGTGGCGCAATTAGCTGCCACATTTCACCCACATAATATAGTCAATTCACTTTACAGTACATTCTGTGAAGTGTTTTGAAACATCTCATAGATGTGATAAGGCGCTTTATCAAATGCAAGGATTATTTTTATTATGAAATCCAATCTTTAATGAAAAATAATAATGCTTGCATTTGATATAGCACTGCTGTGCGCAGTGAAACTGAACAGTGAACTGAGTAGAAACTGAATGGGAAAAATCCCTATCCCCAGTGACTGGTCTGCTCCTCCCAAGTCCTAGCAACAAAGCGGGCAGGTGGGTTTGTTATCAGCAGTACCTTGGAATATTGCATGCATACCTGTCAGGAACCTGAGAGGTGAGACTGCCACAGAGAGTTGACTTGATTCCAATTTTCCATTTCCTGGGATGTCACCTGGGAGCCAGCTCAGCTCCAAAGAATCCCTGCTTACCTTCCACAGGATTCTTTTTTTGCACTATACTGCTTTAGAAGTGATTCATTGAGTAATGTTGAATGTGTTTTCTCCATTTCAGATGCTTGTGACAACACCTGAGAAGTGGGACGTGGTAACACGCAAAAGTGTTGGTGATGTTGCCTTGTCGCAGATTGTCAGGCTACTGATTCTTGATGAGGTCCATCTGCTCCATGAAGACAGAGGGCCAGTTCTTGAAAGCTTGGTGGCTCGAACACTTCGACAGGTAAAGAAATGTTGCATAATTTTAAATCTGGCATTGTCATTGTAAGGTAGTTATGCTCAGGTTTAATGTGACTGTCCTTAAAATTGTAATACATTAAAACCATAAGAAATCATGGTCCTTGGAAGCAATGGATCAAAAAGAAGGATTTTATTGAATACAGTAATGTTTATATATGTATGAGTCAACTTGTGTTTATGAAATATTGTATTACCCAGGATGAATGCTTGAAGGATTACATCTAAATATATCTTGTAGTGTAACTTAAAAATAACATTTTGATTTTGTTTGAGATTGGATATTTATAATGAAAACCATTATGTGCCCCATTATTTAAGCATCTCTATTACTTAATGAATGTTTGTTTTAGACACTATGTATGTCTACGACATCAAACTGTGAAGGTTTTCAATGAATGTTTGTTGAGATCTGTTGAAGAACCACCTGTGCATTTGGAAAACTAGGTGGCAGAATAGAGCTGCAATCTGATTCTACTTTGGACAGATGGGATAAAACTTTCTCTGAAGCTGTTTTATTCCCTCTGGTAATGATTACATATAATCAGATGTATATTTTCAAATAAGATTCTCAGTGGATATAAATCAATAATGACCATACAAAACACAGCTTGAACATCACTTCTGGAGATTTAAACTCAGCTAACTTGATAATGTAACCCAGCATTCTATTGTCTTAGTTATTGCTGTATCTACCGTTTCTTCCTGAGTTAGATTGATTTAATTGCTAATATCTGCAAACTGAGACATTTTGCTTATTAATGCTAGTCTCAAAATCGTTTCTGGAGGATGTGAATGGCAAAGGTCCCAGGACTGGTCCCAGGAGTGCTTTCCAAGTTACAGCTGTCCAATTAGAATTACCCACCTTGATCGCTACACTTTTTCTATTATTTAACTGATGATCTAATTTTCTGCTGTCTTCCATATCCCAAATGTTTTTTTCTTTGCCACACTGTCTTATGTCCGGATATCTGACATTCACAAAGATTTGCATCCTCAGAGAATTATAATAAACTTGCTAAGCATGATCTGCCTCCATAAGTCTTAAGTTGGTATGATTTGTTATTCATGTTAGACTGTTGAATTGCATCATTTATCATTGATTCCATATTTTTCCAACTATTAATGCAAATTTGACAGGTCCACAAATGTCAGGATCACCTTTCGATTTTTTAAAATGAAAATTGAACATTTTTAATGTTTTCTGCTATTACTCCTATATTTAGCGGTCTATGAAAAAATCAGGAAGAGCATACTATTTCTATTTTAATTACTGGAAATGTTCCTCAGTACATGGCTTCGGTATCTGAGGGTGGACGTTTCTGTGGGCATTAGGAGTGCCAATTGATGATGTTAAATGGGATTTCTCCTTTATAATCATCCACAGTTGCTGTCACTATTTGCAATGCCGACAAGGAATTTCATCCTTTCTGAATATTTATACATATTTCTGATGACCAATTAATTGTCAGCCTATAATTCCTTAATGTTGTCATACCTTACATTTTGCAATGGTGAGATCAACAACAGCACCAAAGAAGAAAGACCAAGTAAGGCTGTGTTGATTGACTTGAATGTTCCACCTTTTTCCTGCTACCTGAAAATGTTTCGTTTTGTGTAATATTCATTTGGTATTTTGAAGATATTTTCAAAACACTCTCTTCAACATTTTCATCACAATCCGATAATATAATACATTCAAACATTGGAAAAAACATGTAGCTATTTGCCCATTCCTTTGGGAATAATTATTGCTTATGCTGTCTTGCTTGTAAAAATCTGTTTCTGCTTCTTGACCTGACTCTCCGAGATTACCTTCAAAGACCAGTTGTTATATGGAGGAAAATATTGATTGGAATACTGCTTCTCATTAGCTCTCTGATATTGCCCTATTTGGCATCTGTTGGCCTCGGGATAATCTCCGCAAGGGAGCAGTACTGTGCTTTTTCATGCTCTTTGAATTCTGAGATACAAATTCAGAACCCTGATGTATTCTCCCTTTCCTTCAGCCAATACTGCTATGGTCAATTATATTGTCCCATTGGTGTCCCAGTTGGGATCATTTAACTACACTAAGACCTGGGGATATTGAGTTTTATTTCATTGAATGTTATACAATATATCACTAAAACTGTCTGTTTTATGTTTCTTATGAAAGATATTCTTCACCAAACTTGTTGAAATATGAAATTCATATTGGGAAGTAAAACTATATAACTCAGCAGTGGGATAAGCTTCAAATTTCATTCTGGTGTGAGAGTAATCTGGTATTTTTGTCTGGATCACATAACATTTTTAGTTTGAATATTTTTTCACTGAATGAAAAAACGAAAAGCTATTATGAACAGTTACAATGAATGGCAAATAGTTCTGATGTTCATTATCAATGCAGTTCCAAATACTAGATGTTATCAAATTGATCAATTAATTTCAAGGGGGCATTTATAACTCCCTTTTAGCTGTGTTGCTCATCATTTCCACAGTCTTCCTCACTTGAGGAGATGTCTATCAATATCCCCCTAGTGTACGTGAATCTTTTATGCAGTGTTGTTACTGAGTAGTTGCATTGGCAGTTGTATGCTATTGTTGAAATATTTTATACATTGATAGACTGATGTTCAATACAAAATACAAAAATGCATTTATAAAGTGCCTTGCAAGGCGTCCCAAGGCGTTAATCAGTCAGGGATTAGGACCCAGGGGGTTTGGGAGTTGGGATCAGGGAGGGTGGAGAGCAGAGAGGTTAGGAGAGTGGCCAAAGGCTCTGTCGAAGAGGAGGGTCTTGAGTGCCTTGAAGGAGGCAAGCTGGGGAGCGAGGTGAAGGGAATTTGGAATGGGGGCAGAGAGGCTGAAGGCCTAACCACCAATGGTGGGGAAGGCCAGGTGAGGGACATGGAGCAGAGTGAGTGGACAGGTTGATAAGGAGTTAGTGGGTTGGAGAGGTAGAAGGGGGCAAGGCCATAGAGGGCCTTGAAGGTGAGGACGAGAATTTTGAACTCGATCCTCTTGAGGGAAGGTGAGCCAGTGTAGCCGGGAGAGGGTGGGTGTGATGGGGTTACAGAGCCTGATGCAGGAGAGGACATGAGCTGCAGAGTTCTGGATGATCTGCAGCTTGTGGAGGGTAGAGTTGGGAAGGCCGACAAGCTGGGCGTTGGCAGAGTTGAGCCTGGGTGTAATGAAGGCATGGATGAGGGTTTTGGCGGCCTGGGGGATAGAGATGGGCTTGAGGGAGAAGGCGGTGTGATTCATGCGGGTTACAGTGGTAAGAGAGGAGAGGGAGATGGGTTCGAAGGTTGACGGGAGGGGTGGGTAGGGACCAGAGTGTAAGGGAGAGTTGGGGAGGGGTTGGCAGTTGGGAGGGCGGCGGTTGCTGAACGGATCCCCTTGATTTGGGTCTCGAGGAAATCTAGCATCTCCTTGTAGTTGGAAATGATGATGGGCGAGGTATGAGAGGGTGGATGGAGGAGAGCGTTGGTAGTGGAGAAGAGAAGCTTGGGGTTGTCCTTGGTCTCCAAGATTATCTTGGTATAGAAGGACGATTTAGCGGAGACAAGGGCGGAGCAGTAAGTTTCTATGTGGTCCAGCCAGATCTACTGGTGGACAGTTAAATCAAATTCGGGCCAGGTGCATTCAGTAGCACGCAGATGACCCTTGAGGGAGTGGAGGTGGCTGATGTACCAGGGTGAGTTGAATGAGTAGGAGATGGTTCGAGAGGTGAGGGGGGCAAGGGCATTGAGAATGGTAGAGAGGGAGTTGTGGAGGAGAGTGACGAGAAGGATAAGTGGGTGGAGGAGGTAGGCCAGAGGGACAGCAGTTCATACGACTCCAGGGCAGCGGAAAGGGAATGCGGGGAGATTCTTTTCCAGGGGCGGTAGGGCATAGAGGTGGGGTGGGTTGTAGTGGGGAGAGGGATTAAGGAGTTGAGGGAGATGAAGTGGTGATCTGTGATGGCTTTATCGATGATTGTGAGGTCTGAGACACTGAACCCGGGGTATTAACCAAGTCAAGTGGGTCAGCGATGATGTTGTTGATGACGAGAGCCTCGTTAGAAAGGGAGCAGACATTTTGTAGTCCAATGCGGAAGGGACAGTTGGCAGAGGAATGTGTGAGATCGGAGGGGGTGGTGGAAGCATTGGCAGGGAGGGTGGGAATGTGGATGAGGGAGCAGAGGTTGGCCACCAGGGTCTGGGTCTGGCGGGGCTTGCGGTGATAGTGAGAACAGTCAGTGTGGCTGCTGCTGGACAGCCAACGGCGAGTGCCACAGTGAGCCTGACGGATGATTCCCAGACTAGAGCAGAGGGAGGCATATATAAATGAATAATCCAGACGAATGACAGTAGTTAAGACTGATATGAGTTTAATTAACACTCATTATAAATAATCACTAATAAGTTGTGTACACAATAAGTCAGTGAGGGTGATTAAATAAATTTGACCTACATTCAGTTATAAGCTGTGATTCTGATGTGCGATGGTTTCGAGACAGTGTTGGCCAGCCAGAAGAAACGTTTTAATTTCCCTTGATGTCTGTAACTCTTTAATTTACCACATAGTAATCAAAATGGGACCTGAATGGATAACAAAACCCCTACTGGTCCCGGCTTGTAAAACATTTCTGTCCTAACATTCTTCATGCTGAATTTGGACATTTTTTTAATTCAGTTTTAATTTGGCAGCTGGTTTTCCACAGTTGTTAAAAAGAACCAGCTTCCAAAATTAAGATTGAATTTAAGAATTTTGTAGAATTTTGCAACAATAATTTTACATTAATACTTTCATGAAGAGAAGATATCTCAAAGTGATTCACAGCACTGACACGGCACAGTCTGAGCTGGGGGTGACCAAAAGCACCATTGAAAAGAACAACAAAAATTTTATATAGTGCCTTCATGTTTTGGCAATGAAAATATCATGTTTTTTCCATGATTGTGAAAATCTATGCAGTGGTAATCTTTGGCTTACGACCTATTGGAGCACTTAACAGTG